ATAGGGACAGAGATTGGATTGGTGGTTACCAGAGGGCAAGGGGAGAGGGAGGAGGGTGAAAGGGATAATTCGGTACGTGTGTGTGGTGATGGGTTGTAATTAGTATTTTGGTGGTGAACATGATGTAGTCCATGCAGAAATAGAAGTACAATCATGTACACCTGAAATTTTTGCAATGTTATAAACCAATGTTACTGCAATAAACCAAAAAATTAAAATGAAAAAAAAAAAATTATCTCCTTTGATAAATCTTTTCTCTTGAAAAGACTTATATGTTAAACTGCTAGACTCTGCCATTCTTTATTTACTAATATCAGGGCAATCCAAATATGTCTCTCATTCTGCTTTCATAATTTACTAACAAAGTTCAAATGCATGTAGGAATATCTTAAAGGAGTTTGTTGGAATTCTTAATGGTGTTCTGGTTTTTTAAGTGAATGCATAAAAGTCTTAGAGAGAAAAATCTCTTCTGAAAGTACAAATGCATGTTCACAATCTCTTATCTGCAATCTGAAATCCTCAAAGCACTCTGGAAAGCAAAAGGTTTGGTATACTCAATTGATGGCAAGACTGGACCTGAATGAACCTGGGACTTTCTTCTAGTCTCTGTATAATCCACGAGTGTTAATATTCCCACTTTTACTGCAGAAATGTAAACTTGTTGTGTTCAGGATGCTGGCCCTGGGATTATTATACAATATACTGTGTGTGTACTGTATCCCATTTCCAAAGTCTGAAAATTCATGACTTATGAGACATGTTTGGCCCCAAGGGATTAGGATGAGAGATTATGGACCTGTCCTAGAAAAGTATGGGATAGATATTCAAACAGCACTGAGAATAAGAACGTATTTATCTGGCAAGTGAGCCATGAGCACAGATATTTCGTGACGTGAAATTTGGGAGGAAAGTCAGATAAGCACCAAGCTGACCTTCATCTCATCAATAAGGAAACTGAAGGTTGAGCAACTTGCCCAAGGGTACCCAGCAACAATTGGAACCCAGGTAGTCTGGCTGCAGAAGTCATGCTTTTAAACCACAAAGATTTTATTTCTGAAGACTATCCTGAAAGCCTCCACAGTCACAGCAGAGAAACTGAGTCTCTGAGCTGAAAACAGGAGGATTTTGTGAAAGTTCGTACTCTTATGGTTAAAACCCCGGGCTCCAGGATACTGGCAGCCCAGCTCATGCTTCCCAAGTGTGACACTGGAGGATCCTTTTATGGAGAAAAATGAACAGCCCCAAAGAAAAGAACTATGGGAACTGATCTCAGGTGATCCCCTACTGTGGAGTTCACCTGTCCAATGCTGGCCTTGTACAGTGGACTTTCAAGCAACTATTTAGTGCTTCTTTTTTAAGTAGGAGGAGGTTCAAGGATCACCAGACATTTAAAGGAAATGTCAAATATGAAATAAGTCAAAATAAACAAAAAAGGAACCTAGACAGGAGAGAGGAAATACAAAGAGTAGAGAAAGTTTCAAAAAATATATCATTAGGGGCCGGCCCCCCTGGCATAGCGGTTGAGTGCGTACGCTCCGCTGCTGGCTAACCCGCGTTTGGATCCCGGGTGCGCACCAAGGCACCGCTTGTCAGGCCATGCTGTGGCGGCGTCCCATGTAAAGTGGAGGAAAATGGGCACGGATGTTAGCCCAGGGCCAGTCTTCCTCAGCAAAAAAGAAGAGGATTGGCATGGATGTTAGCTCAGGGCTGATCTTCCTCACCAAAAAGAGGAGGATTATCACGGATGTTAGCTCAGGGCTAATCCTCGACACCAAAAAAAAAAAATATATATATATATATATACGTATATATATATATATATATATATATACGTATATATATATATATCATTAGTACCTTCAGAAGTTAAGAGAAGAAATTGCATCCATGAAAGCAAAACAGGACACTATAAAAAAGGGGGGGAGGGGAGATGTGAAGGGGTGTAAGATAGAGCACTTGGAAATTAAAAATATGATAGCTGAAATTTAAAAGTTCAATAAAACTTTGGAAGATAAAGTCAGTGTAATTCCCCAGAAAGTAATTCAAGAAAACAGAGATAAGAAAAATTAGAGAAGCTATCCAGGAGGTTCAGGGACTTATTTCAGAATAGGCTTCCAGAAAGAGAAAGTGGTGAAGAGGAAATTATCAATTTATGGAACAGTTTCAAGAACTGAAAAACATGAGTCTCTGGCATGAAAAATCCTAAGGGCCTGGCAAAATAACTTTTTTTAAAAATCCAAACGTATTGTGAAAAAGAAGATGCTAAGAACTTCCAGAACAAAAGAAAAGTAAAAAACAGTATCACACAAAGGAAAATAATTAGAATGCCATGGGATTTCTCTACAGCAATACCAAATTCTAGAAGACAATGAACAACGCCTTCATATTTCTGAGAAATAATATCCTTCAGCTTAGAATTCCGTACACAGCCAAACTGTCAATCAGTGGGGGTGTAGCATTAACTCATTTTCAAGAATACAGAGACTCAAAACGTTTCTCTCCCCTGAACCTTTCTGTAAGAAGCCATTCAGGAACGTGCTTCGGCAAACAGGGCAGTTCACCAGGTAAGAGCAAGAATGGGGTCCAGAAACCAGAGACCTGAGGACCAGCACACAGATCTAGAAACAGTTCCAAATTCCAGAGGAACCACTGGAGTTGGCAGCCTATAATACAGAAATCTCCACAGGGACAAAACAGAACTGATAGGTGATTGTTACTGTGTTTGAGTGTTTGAAAACATTACCGGTAATTGTTTGAAAGATTTCTAAGAATTTTTCCAGGGAAAGGGAACAGCAATAGGTATATTAAAAAAAAAAAAATGGGAACTCATGTAAATTTCCTAAAAAAAAATAAATGTAAGAGAAATGAAAGGTAGCCCTAGTATATTGCTTGGCTCAGCAGCAAGCAAGGTCATGGTAATATAAATAAATATTACGGATGACTGATTTAACCAGGAATAAAGTTTGTCTAAGGGATCTACATTCCCAAATACTATTAGAGGAGCCAATAGATAACATGTAAAAATAAAAATTTAAAAATTTAAAAATAAAGGAATGTAATAATATTGAGAAATGGGGAGAAAAATACTAGAAAAAATTGCTGTAAGAGTTGAAAATGGTTGCCTCTGGAGAGTATTCAAACTAGAAAGTGAAATTTTTCTTATTTTTTTTCCATATCTACAAGATAATCACTTGTATATGTGCATTGAGTATACATTCAAAAATTTTATATATAAAAATATAGTTTATGCCATTGCAATCCTCTGTTAATACTTGCTTTTTTTCAGTCATAGTATTATTAAGTTAACCATGTATCATGAACATTTCACCTCAATCCATGTGGACCACTTCACCCTTTTTATCATTGTAGAGGATCCATTCTCTGATGTATCATATTTTTTTCTTTTCTGTCAATCCCTGTTTTTTTTTTTTTTGGTGAGGAAGTTTGGCCCTGAGCTAACATCTGTGCTAATCTTCCTCTATTTTTTGTATGTGGGATGTCGCCACAGCATAGCTTGATGAGTGGTGTGTGGGTCTGCACCCAGGATGTGAACTCATGAACCCCGGGCTGCTGAAGCAGAGTGTGTGAACTTTAACCACTATACCACCAGGCCAGCCCCTTGTCAATCCCTTTTTTATGGACATTAGGGTGATTCTGATGTTTTGCTATTAGCAACAACACTTTGATAAATATTCTTTTTACATTATTTGTGCACACATGTGCTATATTACCTTAGGAAGCATTGCTAGAAATGATACTGAATGGTGAAAATTTACATTTTGATAAAGAATTCCCCCATTACTTTCCAAAATGGTGGACAAAATGTAGACTCCTACAAATCATATTATCTACACACAATGATAATGTTGACTCTTTCATGCAGTATTTTTTTCTTTCTATGATCTTGTTGCATGAGATAAAACTTTCTGGAAGAAAACATTAACATTAATAGAAATAAAAGCTTTGCTTATATTGTTCTTAAATTTAATGGGAATACTTGTTTGTCATAACTGTTCTGTGAATAATAAAAAAAATGATGTTTGGTTTGGTTTTCTTTATCTTGTTAAGAAAAAAAATATTCTAGTTCTACTTTATGAAGAGTTTTAATCAGGAATAAATGTTAAATTTTATTTAATATTTTGGCATTTATCAAGTTGTTTTCATTAAACACACATACTTTATGGACAATAGATAAATTCTTTGCTGTTTAAGTACACAGCAGAATGTTTTTTTCAGTATTATTTTAAAGAGCATGTCTGGAGAATCGTGCTTTGGATAAATATATGAATTTTTAAAACCAGAATCTGAATGATGGGTTAATTGTGCTGGAAGACGATTCCCTAAAGGTTGATAACTTTTTCATATCCATTGAAATACAGAAGACTGTTTACTTGACCGATTCAGGGAATTATCTTTTCTTAACATTATCCTTAAGAACATTTGTAGAGAAGCACTTAGATAGTTACAGAGCTGTATTTGAAAGGATGAAGAATCTTTAAGAGCCTTTTCAATAAATGGAGTTTTGTTTTTCTATTTTAGGGGCACAGCAATTGCTGGCATAGTGTTTGGAATTGTATTCATCATGGGGGTCATTGCTGGAATTGCCATATGTATCTGCATGTGCATGAAAAACAACCGCGGGACCCGGGTGGGCGTCATCAGGACCACCCACATCAATGCCATCTCCTCCTATCCTGGTAAGCAAAATTGCTTACTCCTTCTGAAGGAAGAGTCAGATTTGTTAGTTATGCTCTACTCCTTGGAAAGAGGAAACATTAAAGACTCACTAGAAAAATCTCCAAGTGTATAGGGTATTTCTAAGTAAATGTAGATTGAAGCTCTAACTTTGAATGGAGATAACTTAGATCTAAGTAATAAAATCCGTCTCATGTTTGAAGATAGTCATATTCCTAATGGTTGGCTCATTGTCTACAGTTGCCAGTCAGCCAGAGTTAAGAAAAATAGACAATTCACACCAACAGTGACTATTATCCTGTGAGTTCTGACAAATAGTTATCTAGAGAAAGTACAAGTTATGTGTCTTAATAAACTGGCCTCTGATTTGATAGGTTCATTTGTCTTGAGAAAAAGTATTGAAGAAAATTTTTGTGTGTCCTCTGTAGGCAAAGAAAACAGTTTTAACACAATATTAAAATTCTCAACAAAGAGCAAAATATAGATGAACAATTTGACAAGTATTTGTTGAGAAGCTGCCAGAAGTTCCACATATAAGTATATTGAACACATAGGATGCCATAAACAAAATACTGCATTTTGCATTAGATGATTTCAATAGTGCTTTCTAAGTCAATCTGTATGTGTACAATTTGACATATAAAAAGGAGTCAAGCTCTAAATTTAACACATCATTAGGAAGATGATTTCCTATCCACACTCATGTCCTCTCTCTCTGTCCCTGTAGAAAAGGAAGAGGGTACCTTCTACATGTAATCTGCCCTGTGTATCAATTTCCTAATCCTTCCTTCCTCTCTTAATCTTTTCCCTATCTTCTTCAACTTGAGGGAGCAAATTTCAGATGAATTTGAGAATGATCACTTCTCCTGTTCCTCTTTTGTCAGTTCCCCCTCTTCTCCAATATCTTCATGTCGGGCTGCCTCAGGGCTCAGTCTTATGTCTTCTTACATCCTGTATCTACACTTACTTCTTTGGTTACATCGTTTGGCCTTGTGGTATTAAGCACCATTTATATACTAATGCCTCCCAAAGTTATATATCTCTATTCCAAACCTCTTTCCTGAATTTCAGATTCATTTGATCCCACTGCCTGTTGGACATCTGCACCTGGAGGTCCAATAAATATCTCAAATTTAACATATTTAAAGTTGTACTTTGGGGCCGGCCCCGTGGTTGGCGGTTAGGTGCGCGCGCTCCGCTGCTGGCGGCCCGGGTTCGGATCCCAGGCTCGCACCGACACACCGCTTCTCCGGCCATGCTGAGGCCGTGTCCCACACACAGCAACTAGAAGGATGTGCAGCTATGACATACAACTATCTACTGGGGCTTTGGGGGAAAAAAAATAAATAAATAAAATTTAAAAAAATAAATAAATAAAGTTGTACTTCAGATCATCCTCCAAAATCCTCCTCTATTCATAGCCTTCACCATCTCAACTGATGGCATCTCTAGCCTTTCAGTGGCTCAGGCCAATTCCTTGGAGTCATCGTGACTCCTGTCTTTCCTTCATACTTATGTGCAATCTACCAAGAAAGCTTCTCAGCTCCATCCTCAAAATATATACAGTATCTGACTATTTCTCACGGTACCTACTCTTATTTCCTGGTGGGAGCCACCATAAGCTCTCCCCTCCATTTATGCAAGAACATCCTAACTGGTCTCCCAACGTCCACTCATGGACCCTTGGGGTCTATTCTCAACACAGTAGCCAGAGTGAACCTTTTAAAGTAGAGGTGAAATCATATCATTCGTTTGCTCAAAATCTCCAGTGGCTCTCCATTTCCCCCAGAGGAAGAGTCAATGCCAGTGGTTCCTCATTTTACCCAAAGTGAAAGGCAGATTCTTTACCAGAACCTGCAAGGCAATGCATGATTTGGCTTCTCTTTTTGTTTCTCTGACCTCACTGCCTTCTACTCTGCCTCCTGCCACTCTGGCTTAGTCATACTTTTTCCCTTGCTGTTCTGTGAACACACAGGGTGCACTCCCATCTTAGGGCTTTGACTAGAACACTGACTCCCTCACTTAATTCATCTTTGATCAAAGGCCACCTCCTGAATGAGGCCTGCCCTGATCACCCTGTTTAAGATTGTAATGTGTCCCTCCCCACAGCACCCCAGTCCTCATAACTCTACCCTACTTCCTTTCCAGAGTGTTTTAATTTTCTAAGATATCATATAGTTCACCTAATCATTATGTTTATTGTTTATTATCCATCCTCTCCTAGAATATTAGCTCTATGAGGCAGAGATCTGTGTCAATTTTGTTCATGACTCAATCCCAAACGTATAAGACCAGGACATAATGGGCACTCAGTAGACATGGCTGAACAAGTGAAGAACACAACTCATGACAAGATCTGATTTAGTTATATATCAATAACAAGGGAATTGACCTTAAATTCCACCCTGGAATATGTAGCTTTTGTTGTTAGTGCTGTCGAATCAATTCTGACTCCTAGTGATCCTGTGGACAGCAGAGCAGAATGCTGCCTGGTCTTTTTGTGCCATCCTCTCACCTTCCAGTGCTGTATTAGACAATGCTCTGTTGCTATTCATAGGGTTTTCATGGCCAATTTTTTCAGAAGTGGGTAGCCAGGTCCTTCTTCCTAGTCTGTCTTAATCTGGAAGCTCTACTGAAACCTGTCCACCATGGATGACCTTGCTGGTATTTGAAATGCCGGTGGCATAGCTTTCAGCATCACAGCAACACGCAGTCGCCACAGGTTGTCGCCAGTCTGACAAGTGACAGACAGGTGTTACGCTTCCCTGACTGGGAAACAAACCCGGGCTACAGAGGTGAGAGCACCAAATCTTTACCATTAAACCTCCCGGGCTGGCTATGTAGCTTTTACTCACTACAAAAGCAATTCACAATTTTGAATCTACCCAACTTGTTGGGGTTAGTGTAACAATGTTAGGACTAGGGTATAAGGAAAAAATAGGGGGAATTATTTTTTATTCTTCACATCTCCTCATTTTTATCTCGTTCAACCCGTAATCCAGGAGAACAGAGGAGAGTCATACCAAGACATTAACTGGGAAGGAGGCAAGGAAAAGCACTCTATTGATAACATTCCTGATATACTTTCTCTTGATCAAAAAAAGTTTAGTTAAAATTAATTTTTAAAACATTTAAAAATATTTTTTATAAAATTAGAATAGAAGATACATGGGCCGGCCCTGTGGCTTGGTGGTTAAGTGCGCGCGCTGCGATGCTGGTGGCCCGGGTTCGGATCCCGGGTGCGCATCGAGGCACCACTTCTCTGTTCATCCTGAGGCCGAGTCCCACATACAGCAACTGGAAGGATGTGCAGCTACGACACACAACTATCCACTGGGGCTTTGGGGGGAAAAATAAAATAAATAAAATCTTTAAAAAAAAAAAAAAAAAAAAGAATAGAAGATACAAAATATTTTAATGTAAGGTTTTGCATTTTCTTGGGTTTGAGGTTTCTATTTCATGCATGGTAACATGTTTTTAAAACTTTTTGGTGGCATCATTTATATTGGAAGATCACAGGGGCATGTTGCACTTTCAGTAAATGCATTGTTCTAGGAACTGAATAATGCAAGAAACATAATGAACCTTACGGTGGAAGTATTTTTACTGCAAAAAGACTAGGTCTCTGAAAACTTAATGTGCTTGATTACTTCCCATTTCCTTCTCAGTTACTAATTAAGTTTTTACTTAAAGGATCAGGAAACAGCACAGAGTAGTAGTGAATGCTTTTCAAAATCTTTCATCTGTGGAAATAGAAAATGTTTTTAACTACATGAATTAATTAACCCTGTGATAATTGAGATAATGACCCAACTTATGGTATAGTCCTACAGCCTGGAGGCACATAAATGAGGAAAAAATAACTTAGCCAAGGTTATCTTATCCCTTGGTGAAAGCGCTCCATAGGGAACCCTACAGTGAACATTATTACTCTGCACTGGGGAGAAGATTACCAAGAACAGGTAATCTGCCACATCTGACCCTTTCTTGGACAGTGACCTTCCAAAGCAGTTCTTTATTCCTGCCATGTTGGGTAGAATGAACGATGCCCTGTTTAATTATAATTATTTTTAAAATCATCAGTGTGAAAATAAGAATTATTTATCAAGTCTTACATTTCCGTTACTTTTCAGAACTTCAGTCTAAAGAAAGGAAAGTGATCATGTTAATGCTTTTTTAAAAAAATAGGTTTGGGTGATACACACCTGAAAGAAAATAATACAGAAAGACAATAACAAAAGACTTGGCAAAGATATAAAAATCAAATGCCAACAAAGGGAAAACAAGGGATTTCAATGCTATCAAGAAAACTGAGATTTGAAGTACATTACTGAGTCGTCTGATGATAGATGATAGATAGATAGATAGATAGATAGATAGATAGATAGATAGATAGATAGAGATAGATAGATAGACAGATGATAGATGATATAGATAGATAAACAATGGAGAATGAAGGGAGGCTCTTGCTGATAGAAAAAAGTCAAGGAATACACGTAGACAAGAGTTGTGGAATTGGAAAAATCATCATTTAAAAAGCATCATAAGAAAAGTTTAGGACAAGAATCATCAATTGATGCTAAATCTGGGGAGAAAGTTTGCTGAAGAGCAGGATATTTGTGTGCTCTCAAAGTGTCTACCCCCAGATTTCTTATTAGTTTTAAGGAGAAAAATAGTAACTACACAGTGAAGAAACAAGACAACATCTTGACCAGGCGGTAAAAATTAATACCACCAAAGAGGGGCAGATGGATGTCTTGCACCTTTGGGTATCACTCTGAGGATGCCACAGCTTCATCTAGTGTGTAGTGTTCTGGCTGGAAGTTCGCAGCCTGAATCTTAGCACGAAAAAACATTTGACAAACCCGAGTTGAGGAACAGTGTATAAAATAACCAGCTTGTAGTCTTTAAAATCTCTCAGAAATATTTCATTAAGGACTCAAAACTCCATTTTCATCATGGAATTCACAAATGAGGGGAACCTTATTAGTATATATACTGA